CACAGACTTTCAGGGACGCCCTCACTCCTGCACTATCACAGTTTTGCTTGTGTTGTTCAAGGTGCCTGGCAATCTTACTGGACGGGATCAGGACTGCTGAGTTAGTGGGTGAGACATGTCTTCCCCCTCCTCCCTGCCTTGGTTGACTATCTTTTCTACCTAAGTGCTAAAAGGAATTGCCTGGCAACCAGGACGCTAGCCTCTGGCCAGCAACAGCAGCGCAATCTCAGAGTTCTTCCTATGCTGTCTCCTGCATCAAAAGGGTACATTAAGTCAGAAAATGTTCACTGTATATCAGGTTCAAAGTACTGTAATAAATGTTTAGTTATGACAAACACCCTAAACTTAAAGATTTTAATTTATCAAAATGTAAATCCCAATTAGTAAAATTGGTTAAGTAGGGAAATTTTCCTGCCATGTATTTCTTGTTTATGAACAAGAAAAGCATTCAGAGATTTGAAGGAAAGGGAACTCATTTTCATGTTGCTGGGTCTGTTTGCTTTTCCATCTCTCCCACTAGACTCTCAGTTCCCTGAATGTCTGCTGCCTTTGTAACTGTTTCACAGAACATGACACTCAACAAACTTGGTTGGTAAACTCGCTGAATATGTTCACACATCCTGAAATACTGAATCAGTATTTCAGCTAGCCTACAAATAAATTTTCTAGGGCTGATAAAACATGTTAGAAGGTTTGATTCATGGTCTATTATCTGACAATATTTTCCATCTCTTTTTTTGTTACATTGTATGTATGCTTCCTGATACTGGTTAATAAAATTTATAAATCAGGGTCCTATTCATACATATATTACTACTGTATTACTGTTAATAATATTCTGTAAACTACTCTTTAATTTTTTTTAATTTATTAATTTTAGAGCGAGGAAGGGGTAGAGAGAAAGAGAGAAACACTGATTCATTGTTCCACCCATTTATGCATTCATTGGTTGACCCTTGCATGTGCCCTGACCAGGGATCAAATTGCAACCTTGGTGTATCAGGAAGATGTTCTAACCAACTAAGCTACCCAGGGCTAAACTATTCTATCTTGATTAAAGTCTTTAGTGCCCATAAAAAATAAAAATGGGTTGAATGTCCTACTGAATTAGAATTCCACTTTCCCACAAAGTGGCAGCTAATATTCCAGTTTCTAGACTTTTATTGAAAACATTAAAGTTCTCCTGGAACTCACAAATTCATCCCATCCAATACAATTATATAATCTGAGAAGTGAGCAGCACCCTGGAGATTATTTTTTGTCCAAAATCTCTCCTAATTAAGGGATCCCATTGAAAACTACTCATCTTTTAGGGGCAGGGAGGGATGTTTATCTCACATTAGAGAGTGCTGTACACATAGTAGACTCTTAATACATACTTATTTAACTGAACTGATGAACTTTAAAATGGACCCATTTTTTAAATTCTCGTTTTTCCTAGGTATTACTTGTAACGTCCACTGAATCTGTAATTAAAGATTTGCATGAATGTTCTCATTAACCAATGTTCAAAAAGAAATTCAGTAGAACAACAATAAAAAAGATTTTTTCAAAATTCAGTAGAGGAAATTCGACTTCCGGCAAAGATGGGGGCATAGGTTGATACACTCTGCTTCCCTACAGAACCAAAAGAAGGACAATAACAAATTTAAAAACAAAAGACAACCACAACTGCCAGAAAATCAAACTGTATCAAAGTCCTACAACCAAGGAATTGAAGGAGAAACATTCATCCCAACTGGTGCATCGAGACAAAGAAATATGGCCAAAATTAAAGAACAGATCAAAACTCCAGAAAAAGAACTAAGCAATGAGTAGATAGCCAGCCCATCAGACGCAGAGTTCAAAACACTGGTAATCAGGATGCTCACAGAAATGATTGAGTACGGATACAAAATAGAAGAAGAAATGAAGGCTATGCAAAGTGAAATAAAGAAAAATATACAGGGAGCCAACAGTGACGGGAGGGATACCAGGGTTTGAATCAACGATTTGGGACAGAAGGAAGAAATAAACATTCAACTGGAACAGAATGAAGAAACAAGAATTCAAAAAAATGAGGAGAGGCTTAGGAACCTCTGGGACAACTTTAAACATCCCAACATCTGAATCATAGGGGTGCCAGAAGGAGAAGAGGAAGAGCAAGAAATTGAAAACTTATTTGAAAAAATAATGAAGGAGAACTTCCTCAATCTGGCCAAGGAAACAGACTCCCAGGAAGTCCAGGAAGCTCAGAGAGTCCCAAAGGAGGTGGACCCAAGGAAGCACACACCAAGACACATCATAATTCCATTATCCAAGATTAAAGACAAGGGGAGAATCTTAAAAGCAGCGAGAGAAAAGGAGACAGTTACCTACAAAGGAGTTCCCATAAAACTATCAGCTGATTTCTCAAAAGAAAACTTGCAGAAAAGAAGGGGCTGGAAAGAAGTACTGAAAGTCATGAAAGACAAGGACCTACAGCCAAGATTACTCTCTCCAGCAAAGCTACCATTTAGAATAGAAGGGCAGATAAAGTGCTTCCCACAATAAGGTCAAGTTAGAGGAGTTCATCATCACCAAGCCCTTATTATATGAAATGTTAAAGGGACTTATCTAAGAAAAAGAAGATCAAAAACTATGAACAGTAAAATGACAACAAAGTCACAACTATCAACAACCGAACCTAAACACAAAAACAAAGCAAACAACTAGAAAGGAACAGCATCACAGAAATGGAGTTCACATAGAGGGTTACGGGAGGGGGCAAATGGAGGGAAAGGTACAGGGAATAAGAAGCATAAATAGTAGGTACAAAATAGACAGGGGAAGGTTAAGAATAGTACAGGAAATGGAGAAGCCACAGAACTTCTATGTACGATCCATAGACATGAGTTAAGCGGGGGTGGGGGTGGGGGTTAATGTTGGAGGGACGGGACATACAGGGAGGAGGGGTATAAAGGGGAAGAAAAAATGGGACAATTGTAATAGCATAATCAATAAAACAGACTTTAAAAAAAAGTTCAGTAGAGAATTCCCCATGATCAGTCAAATGTATTAACATCAATGCTACTAATGTAAGTAAATAATAAACCTTTAACAGAAAAATGGAAAATGAAATTTTCTTTCATTTGTTTATGATCAGTTAAGGATTTCCAATTTATCCACAATGCTGACATGTTGCCCAGTCTGGGTAGCTCAGCTGCTCAGAGCATCATCAAGATACACCATGGTTGCAGGTTCATTCTCCGACCAGGGCATACACAAGAATCAACTAATTAATGCATAAATAAGTGGAACAACAAAATCAATGTTTCTCTCTCTTTCTCTTCCACCTTCCCGTTCTCTAAAATCGATAAATTAAAAAAATATTTAAGAATTTAAAAAATGCTCACATGTCCTCAACTTCTAGTATGATTTTTTAAAACAAAGTCTTACGCTATTCACACAACTAAATTATATACTTATAATTGGGTGCTCACAGACTTAACCACAGTACTGTAGTGAGACATGTTATTATGTTAATTAGCTTTCCACCCAGTTAACACCCTGTGATTCCATATGATACGGTAATGAAGAGAACAAAACCTCTGGAGCAGTAAATACCACCAATAATTTTACTTGCTCAAGTATGTATCCCAAAACAGTACATAACTTACATGACCCTGCTTAGTGCACCTATTATAATGCATCTGTTGAGGGGGGTTCTTACAACATATGCTAGGACACAAAGTACAAAATCCATTACAAAATCCATTTCCTTCTGTTTTGCTGAAAGGGAACACACACCATCCCTCAACAGCATAACTAGTGCTTTATTAATATTTTTCAGGCTATAATTTAAATTCCCATTTCCTCCTAAATATCTCTGGACCAACACTCCTGCCAATCCATCCATCTGTCTCTTTCATCACGGCTTCTTTTCATAACTAACAGGTCAAGTTACTTTCCCCTCATTTCAACACAGTGCACTGTATCCACCATAGCCCACTGCTGAATGCCAGACTATAACATATTGAATTTCACTGTCCTTCATTGTTTCCAGTTTAACTGCCATTTTACTACCATGCACGTGAGAGAAATGTGTTCCCACAGGCATCTTATAAATTTCCATAGTGCTATTTTTGTGGATTTACAAAACATGTTCCTTCTCTGAATTCCCTTTACCACCACAAAAACAGCTTTGAAAGGCAGAGATTCTTCCCCCACCCCCCCACAAGTACCCTATGCAAAAAAGAAACTGATTCGAAGTATTTCTATTTAGCTGGCCAATTTAACCCCAAAGGCCTTGATATTGAGCAATATAAGAATATCAGGGCAAATATCTTAAGTACCACTTTCGGCCTTCCAAATTAAAATAAAAATTTTTCAACCCTCAAAAATTATGTTGTTAAATATCCTTTCCTCCCAGGTTATACCTAAAGGACTACCCAGCCCATTATAAACAACTGGCTTTGACTTCTGCACAACGTCCTAAATTTTACTAAATCCCCCACCCCATCCCCGCCCAGGTCTCACAGACACACACAAATCCCTGGGCAAACCCCAAACCTGCCAATGAAGTGAACTATTTCCCTGCCACAAAGAGGCGGCCTGCGCCTCGTGCACGGCGGCCTCTGCACACATGTGCTGGGCAGACAAGTGCGGAACTGCCCTGCGTGGATCCCAGCCTGGAGGCCTGGACCGAAAACCACTCTTCCCCAGCCACTGCCCGCCCACCCACCCCCATGCCTCGCGGCCACTCTCTCCGAAGACAGGCGGCTGGCTCTGAAGTGCCCCAGTCGCAGGCCAGCGTTCCCCTCCGCCCGGCGGAATGGCTGTGCTCAGACCCACTTTCAGCCCACCCACCATCCTTTTTCCTTCCCCTTCTTCTTCGCCTCAGGAAATTCCATCGGAACTTCACTAGGGCCTGGCCGAGGAGTCCTGCCAGGAGCCCAAGCACACCGTTCCCCGACGGCCGCGCCCCCGCGCCTCGCCCGAGGCGGCCACCGACTCCTGCGACCCCCGGTCCTGCGCCTCACCTCTTCCTCGCTCTCGCTGCGGAAACACAGGCACGCGGCCCGCTTCTTGTAGCCGTCGCCGTCATAGGTGCGGGTCTGGTTCGACTTGAGCTTCATCATCCTCTGGCCCGGGTGGGGGTGCGGTGCGGGTCGCAGGAGTAGAGGGTGGGGAGCCCGCTCCGGACGGCCGCGCACGCGCGCCCGCGCGCGCGTTCCCGGCTCGCTCAGGAGCAGCAGGGAGAAGGAGCAGCTTCTCCGCTACCCAGCTCTTCCGCTAGCCCGCCGCAACCTCCTCATTCCCCTCGTCCCAGGTCCTGCGCTGCCGCTGCCGCCATCACGACCGCTGTCCCCGCTGTCCCCGAGGCTGCCACCCCCTTTGCTGCCACCACCCCCGACGACAACCGCGCCGCCATCTTGGGCGTGCTGCGTCAGCAGCGTAAGACCGCGCTGGCCTGCTGGATGACCATGCAGTCGCAGCACCGGCCGCTTTCAGGAATTGCGCCCTCCCAGTCCGAGCAGCGTAAATGAGCGTCTGGATTGAGTGGGCTGCGCGACTCGAGGCGGTCTCTACGCCAGCAGCGTAGGGGTGAGGTTGGTGGGGAGCACGGCAAGAGAGCCTGGGAAGAAATCACGCTGGAGCAGGGCCGCCCAGGAACGGCCAGGGTAGAGCCACAGCTCTTTCAGCCGTTTGGCTGTGTGAAGAGGGAAATAGGGACTTGCACAAGGTCACACTGTGAGTCCGAGGCTGAAGATGACCCAAAGTCAGGCCGCCTGGGCCTTGACCCTGCTAGTCCATCTGGGAGGAGTTGAGGAGCAAGGTCTGGGAGAAAAAGTGGGATGCAATTAAACACGAGAGTGTACCCTGGGATGCCTGGGATTAGGTACTGCACCTGAACGGCGAGGTCTGGGGCGGGGGTATGTTGGGAGGGCGGGCATGTTTCACTGACATCCAGAAGCTCTGGAAGTCTTATGGGCTGTGGCATGTGGAACAAATGTTTATCCTGGGATCCTTTATTTGTGCAATAAAGCAAATATTTCCTCTCAAGGTAAACACAAGGGCCGGAAAGAAAGATACCTGTGTGTATGTGCATACATAACGCAAATCATAAGGCATCAACATTTCTGGCAATAAATGGGAGCATATTGTGGATGTGAAACAGATTCTCCAGGGAAATACATACAGTCAGACACACTCGAGCTGCAGTAGCCCAGACCTCCGAGGCCCTAAACACGTTGAAAATCCTGTATAGGATTTGTCCATGAGTTGCGTATTACCCTTTTTTAATTTGCTTGCATTTAGCATGGTCAAAAAAGACAAGATTTGAAACCAAACAAACCTAGGTTAAAAACAATTATATAATTTATTTTCCTCTGTAAAATGGAGAAAATAAACCTACTTGGTGCCTGGCATATAGTAGGCACTCAGTATATTGCAACTAATATTATTGACATTTCACACAACTCTTGCCACATAACATGTGGAATTTCAGTTCATTTTGGTCAGTCGTCATAACAGTTCCCCAAATCTTGGTGATTTTGGTAGTCTTTTTAGCTTTTCCTCTGTCGTTATGTCTCTAAAATAAAGGGGGGCGGGGGGGCAAAAGGCCTGATTGTAGAAATACTGTTACGTGTACATTGTCAAAAATTTGAAAAATACAGAGGATCTAAAATACTAAATTATGGATATCTTTGAGCACCTTCTGTAGAAATCTGTGTCCTACATTTCTTCCAGTCTTTCCCACATGTGGTTATTTTAAAATCCCATTTCTAATAACCACCTAATAGTCCATCATAGGGGTGTATCATCAATTTTTTTTGCCATTTCCCATTGTTAGAAGCTTAGGTTGTATCTGTTTTTTTTAGAAAAACAATGAACATCCCTGTACATAAATACTTGTCCATATCTCAGATCGTTCAAGATAAATTCTCAGGGGTAGATCCAGGGGGTAGGAACATACGTGTGGCCTTCGCCACCAGCTACCAAAGCCTTTGCAGAAAAGTTGTAGGAGTACAGTCACACCAGCAGCTAGACAGCTACACTGTACCATCTGCCACTTTGTTAAGGATCAGAGCAGAATTGCAAAGGCATTGCAGGTTTCAGTACACGAGCAAAAATAGTGAGTTAGATTGTAAACTCCTTAAGGGCAGTCTTGTGTCATTTACCTTCATATCCCCATATCCTAGCACAATGCCTTGTCCAAAATAAGCACTCAGTAATGTTGATTGAAGAGATGGATGGAAGTTTTTTATTGGTTCCTAATTCCATCCTCAGCTTTTATAGGCCTGTTTAGTTGCAAGAGCCCACAAGACCACTTCCAGATCCCTTGTCTTAGTAGTAATAATTACTTTCTCTCGTTCAGGAAACATTAACCAAGGAATCCCAACCTTTCCTGGAAGACAATGGGTAAATATTAGATAAGTTGCTTCCCACAGTCTCAGTTACCTACAGTCAATGTGTTCTGAAAATATTAAATGGGAATTCCAGAAATAAATTCTTGAGTTTTAAATTGCATGCCTTCACAAGATGCATCACCCCTTAGTTGAGCATCTCCACACTATATACGCTGTCCTCTCTCTCTTAGTCACTTAGTAGCAGTCTGGGTTATCAGATCAACTCGTGGTATCTCAGTGCTTGTGTTCAAGTAACCCTCCGTTTACTTAATGTCTCCAAAGCACAAGAGGACAACAGGTCCTCAAATAATATCCTTTCCTTATAATGTTGCTGAGATGCCAAAGGGCCTTAACTCTTATTTATAAAATTAGCCTATGGTTAAATTGGTTCTGGTACATGTTTTGCTTAAAGTCACAGAATGTATTTTTCTTTTTTCTTTAATTATATTTTATTGATTATGCCATTACAGTTGTGCCAGTTTTTCCCCTCTCCACACAGTCCGTCCCACTTCCTCAGGCAATCCCCACCCAGTTCTCCATGTCCATGGGTCATGCATATATGTTCTTTGGCTACTCTGATGCTGTACTATACATCCCCATGACTATTGTGTAACTACCATTTTGTGCTTCTTAATTCCTTCACTTTTTTCGGCCATCCCCCTGACCCTCATGTCTGGCAACCACCAAAACATTCTCTATGATTCTGTTTCTGTTCTGCTTGTTTCTTTATTTTGTTTTTTAGATTCAGTTGTTGATAGTTATGTATTTGTTGCCATTTTATTCATATTTTTATCTTTTTCTTAAATAAGTCACTTTAACATTTCATATAATATTGGTTTGCTGATGGTGAACTCCTTCAGCTTTTTCTTGACTGGGAAGCTTTTTATCTACCCTTCAATTCTAAGTGATAGCTTTAGTAGGTAGAGTAATCTTGGTTGTGAGTCTGCATTTCATCACTTTGAATATTTATTGCTAATCCCTTCTAGCCTGCAAAGTTTCTTTTGAGGAATCAACTGACAGTCTTAAGGGAACTACTTTGTAGGTAACTAACTGCTTTTTTTTTTTTTTGCTGCTTTTAAGATTCTCTCTTTGTCGTTAACCTTTGGCATTGTAAAAATGATGTCTTGCTGTTAGCCTCTTTGGGTTCATCTTGTTTGGGACTCTCTGCACTTCCAGGACTTGCCTGTTTATTTCCTTCACCAAGTTAAGGAAATTTTCTGCCATTATTTTTTCAAATAGGTTTTCAATTTTTTGCTCTTTCTCTTCCCCTTCCAGTGCCCCCATGAGGCAAATGTGGGTATGATTAAAATTGCTCCAGAGGCTCATTACACTGGCCTCATTGGGAGGGAGGGGGATTATTTTTTCTTCTTGCTGTTTTGAGTAGCAGGCCATGGTCAGCTACTACCTGTGTTCTGTCCAAGGCCATGTAGCATAAGCTACAAAGCAGTCTGCAGATGGCTACTACTTATGCTGGGCTTGAAGGTGCCCAAGTGATGCCAAGCTGTGAACCAGTGCCGGCTAGTGCCAGGCCTGGGGCCACTTAGCAAGAGGTATGGGACTTGCTGAGACCAGATGCTGCTTGAGAAGATTTAGGAAAATCTGAAGCAGGAGCCAAGACCAGCCTGTGTATGGAAAAGCCTTTCACTGGAAACAGCTTGGGTGGGCCTGAAAGTTGGGTGAGGCAGAGTCTTAGGGAATCACCAGGGTGGGGCAAACAGTGTGAGCCAGGTTGATGGAGTCTCAGATATGGCACCTGCCTGCTGGCTCTGTGGGAGGAGGGATCAGAAAAGGAACAATGGCCTCTGCCATCAGTTCTCTCCCCCAGCTCTCACTCCGCTGCTGAACAATTCAGGTTCTCCCATGTACCTGTGGGCCTTCCAAGCTGCTACCCCAATGTTGGAGCTCAGAGGGAATGAGTCTGAATAAGTCTGTGCGTGAGCCTTTTAAGAGGAACTGCCTGAGAATGCAGCAGTTTCTGTCTTCTACAACTTCATTTCCCACTGTTTTTTACAGCCAGAAGTTATGGGGACTTATATTCCTGGCACTGGAACCCTGGGCTGGGGGGTCCACTGTGGGGCTGGGACCCTTTGCTCCTGCGATATCCCTCCTGATTTTTATTTGCCACACATGGGTCTTGGACCATCCCATTCTGTGTCTCCATCCCTCTTACCGGTCTTGATGTGGTTTCTTCTTTAATTCCGTAGTTGTAGTACTTTCATTCAGTTCAATTTCCAGCAGTACTGAATACTGACTGTTCTGTAGTTTAGTTGTAATTTTGATGTGGTTGTGTGAGGAGGTGAGCTGTGTTTACCTAGGCTGACATCTCAGCTTTCTCTCAAGTCACAGAACCTATTGACAACTTTAAGGAAGGACTTAGTGTAGTGACATTGGCAATTCGGATATGCCGAAGAGAAGCCATAAAGTGCTTCCTTTAACAAAAAAGTATATATGTACTGTAGAGGAAAAAACACAGTATATATAGGGTTCGATACTCACAGTTTCAGGCATCCACTGGGGGTCTTGAAGCTTAAGGGGGGATTCCTGTACTTATTGCCATATTATTTCCAGTTAAATACTTCTCCAAAAGTCCTATAAGAAAAAACTAGTATGTAAAATGTTGCCTGTTTCCTTATGACCAGAGTAAATAGTAAGGTATCTCTTTAGTTGCCTAAGCCAGAAACATAGGAATCATTTATATATCTCTTATCTTCCATTTGTCGATAACTCTGTTGCTTCTGCCTTCTGACATCAACCCAGGGCCTTCCCTCCTTGCCATCTGCCATTACTTCAGTAGGATTCTTCCCCTTACCTCTTCTTGGCTCCCATCGAGACTTTACTTCAGCCCCATCCACCCACAGCAGCAAGAGGAATCTTTCCCAGATACAGAACTAAGTAAGTCATTGC